AAAGCAGGGTCATTTTGTTTTTTAATTTGCATCTCTTGAGTATTTCTAAGAATTGCCATAATTTGGTAAGAATTAAAAAAATAATTCCAAGATTAAAAATACCACCAAATGGCACAAAGGAGAAACCTTTTTCCTCCTAGTTTCCACTGGTCTGTGTAGGGCTAACTACACTGGGGGCATACCCTGCTTCTCCTTGAAATGTTGGATGCAGGACCAAGCACAGACCCCTTTGAAGAGGCGCAGCCAGCCCTGCAGAGTAAGAAGCATTTGTTTCCAGGGCAGTATCCTCAAGGAGGATATTTATTAATGTGCTTCTCTGAGTGATAGAAATAAATTTTAAGCTGAGAATGAAAGGGAAGAGGCTGCAGTATCCTATACTGATCGCCAGTTTTGTTGCCATCAGTGGGAGTTTCGCAAGAGACTGATGGAGGCAGGATTAGGCCTTTGATCTGTTTGCTCCTGGTATTAGTTCCCTCTGGCTCTATCAAATCAGGCTGATCTAAAAGTTAAGAGGGAAACATGGGAAAAGACCTAGCAAGTGGTGTTAAAGCTAGCCACAAGCTTAGCACATCTTTATCCCTAGCAGCAACCCCAGGACTGGGGCTAGACCTCCTCTACTAAGCAGCAGCTTTGTGGTTGCATGACTAGATGGATGATGTGGAAAGTGTTTTCCTAATAACGGGGGCAACTAGCAATCGTGCAGAATTTCCTGAAAGAGGAAGGATGTTTTAAGCTAATTCTAACTTGGCTAATTTCCCCTTGAGCCCTCAATTCCACGTAAATGTTCAACCACAGGCACTATCCCAATCACCTAGTAGCCTAATTCTTGTGCCCAATGGTGTGCTCCGTTGATTCTTGAGCATGGTCTGGCTCTGTACAGGCTCTAGACTATCCATCGTGATAGTCCTTGCCTTGGGTTTTTCCCAAACCTGCTTGATTTGTGAGATAAAGTGTGAAATACTATTACTGCAATGGCAGGATTTTGTTGGAGTCTCAAAAAAAGATAACAACAAGGGCATGGGGTGAGCCAGTTGTTTTCTTGATTTTATGACAAACTATAGAAAAAGTAAAAACACAATTAACATGAGGGTTTCTTAAGCTAGCCTAGAGGTGAATAATAATTTAATATCTTATTTTAAGATCTTAATACCTGTTTCCCTGTTCAGTGGATGCTCTATCCCACATTGCCCTCTAGCGAGGACATTGCAGAGCAAATAATGCCTTCCACTTGCAGCCGCCAGGATATGAAATGTGGTATTTTAATAACTGAAGACACGACTTGTTTCTGAAGTGGTAGTTTGGTATGCTATGCAGATAGCGTGAGGAGGGGCAGTATTCACCTGTCGCCGGTGCCGGTGTGTGTACCTGCACTGGCCGCAGCTTTCTTGGTGGTTTTTTTGTGTGAACTAACTGCCTGTGCAAGCATCTCCCTGCTGCTGATGGATCACCAGCCAAAGGTCCCTGCTCTCTTCTGCTTTGGAAAAAGGGGAAAATACTCCCTGGGGGTTTTCTGGTGAAGGATGATCTTTTTCCACGTTCTTTGTCTTACCCTTTGCTCCATGAAACACACTTCAGTTCTGTGGTTTTGCCTGTATACACACGGTCTGACAACCCTGACTGGTTTGGAGCTCATCACGGGACAAACTTCTGTCCCTCTTCAACCCAACACGGGTGCATCCAAAGGTGTTGCCTAGAGGGTTAGAACTGGTCCTTGTCCTTCTGCCTGCTTAGCCGCGTGAGCCTGCGTCGGTGCCAAATGACCATTTTGGTGTGTTCCCAGTTTTCCAGAGCTGTTAAACACTTACAGAAAATCATCAACCAGCAATAGGTTTAAAAAAAAAAAAAAAAAGAAAACTAATATCTGCTGCCTGTGGAGAGCAGGTCACGCCTGGTTCATCTTGTCTTCAAGGTCTTAAACCAGCCCTGTGGTGCCCAGAGCTGCCCTCTCCTGGGTTGTGGGTGCCCTGAATCAGCTGTCGGCCATGCAGTCCTTTTGCTTGCACACACAGGTCCCATCAGGGCAATGGCACAGCAGGTCAGCAGCTCCCTTGGCTCCTTGGTGCCTGTGGGAACCTGTCGCAGCCTGGGGTGCTTTGGTGCCCACAGCAACCTTCCCTCGGGGGGGTCATTCCTGCGGGTGTGAACCCTCAGGCAGCTCTGGAGGAGCAGGTTTCTCTGGGTGCTGGGTACCAGCGTCTGGGCTGAGGATCTGAGACTGGGAAAGAGGAGGTGCTCAGGTCTGCCTGGATTTTCCTTCCCCTTACTCCTTCTAGGGTAGGGAAGTAAGAGCAGAGCAATGTTCCGAGCCCTGCTGAAATCCAAGGGCTCCTCATCCAAAACGTGGGCTCCGTTTGTCACTGCCTCAGGCACTGCTCCAACCAATGTGAGGCCCAGTGTGTCCTGACATGCTTGACCATAATTACATAGAAATTCATAATTAATGTTCAGTCATCAAAGATTAACCTGGTCTTTGATTGCCGGCTTGTTCTTCAGAGTAATAGCCATGGCCCTTCCTCTGCTAGATGCTGTCTGTTTAAACTCTTTGACTAAAAACTTAACACTTTTCGAGCAGTTTGTTCTAAAAGCTGTGACTTCCTGCATGCAAACAGCCAAAGGGTGCAACCTGATTGCGTGTATGGCAGGTAACGTGGGAGAAGACAGCAACCCGCCACCAGCACAGTCCTCCCAGGGGCTGTAGGACCCCCAGTAACACAATCATGATGGTGTTTGGGGAGCCGGGGTGGGCTGCACGGTCACTCCACATGGCACTTGTGGGATGAACGACAAGCACTAATGCCATCTAGCGACCAGAAAAAATGCGCTGTGGATATTTCATAAAACACCACTGGAAATTTTATAGCCCCAAGTGGGGCAGGCCTTGGGGCTGGGAAGGAGGGAGGTGGTGCTGGGTGTGCTGGGAAAAGAAATCTCTTTTCCCCGCTCTCCCAACCTGTCTCTTCCCTCATTTCACATCCCACAAAGTGCTTCTGCAGGTAACCAGGGGCTGGGATCTCCCACGTGAGACTTTATAGATCCTCGGGGGAGCAAGGCAGGGGGAAAAGGAAAGGGGGCTTTCTAAGCAGCTCTGTTGATCGAGGAGCACGAATTCCCCAACTTACTGCTGGATCGTGGAGCACAAACCCAATGCCCAGGGACAAGGTGACTGCAGGAGGGGAGATGGCTTGCTGCACTACTGGCATGGACATCATGGGCAGAGACCCTGGGGACTAATTTAAGCTGGCAGCATGGGCTGCAACGTGCTGCCATTGCTGCATCTTTCACCCTAGCTGAGGCGGGGCAAGGGATGGCAGCTTCTGCCACTGTCCTGACAGCAGTGACTCATTACGGCAGCTCATATGACCTGACACTTTTTTTTCCTCTCGCCACCTTTGTTTCTCCCTCTTGCTTCTGTAGGTGATAGCCACGAAGGCATTAACGCACTGGGTTTCTGTGCGAGTGGCTGGCTGGAGATGCTGCTGCTTTGTACCTAGTTATTAATCCAGCCAAGTCACAGTGCCACAAACCTGGAGGAATTAGTTTGTGCTCTGCATTTTAAAAAGGAAGGTGAAGTTATTTCTGACTTATTCTTATACCCGCTTTCTGACTTATATATATACCAGCTTATTCTGCTTGGCTAAGTTGTCATTGGCAGGTGCAGTTTGCCTTGCATAGGGCTGGTGGTCTCCTGGGAATATTTTGCAGCTCTGATCATTTCTCCAACTCCTGAGAAATGCACAGAGAGAGAACCTGGGAATTAAAAGTTTCCAGTTAAGGAACTTGAGGGCTGAGATAGCTGTGATGAAGTGCCTTACGAATGCACTGAGATGCTAGGCAGCACCCCCAGAGAGATTTGGAGAGAGGTGTGGGATGTACCCTGCTGCCGAAGGAGAGTGAACAAAGCACCCAGGTGTGAGTAAGCTCCTTCATGGGACATTTCTGAAGTGCAGTGACACCAAGACTGGTGCCAGCAAAGGCTGGCACATCGCTGGCCGAGGGTCCCAGAGAACTGCCCCCCTCACCGGGCACACGGGTCCATCAGCAATGCTCTGCCCCAGAGCGAACAAGCAGGCGCTTGTTCTGCTCCATGCTGCTCAGACTTGCCCCTGCTTCCTTCAGAAAGCCATTTACAAGGGTCCTTGGGGACGTTTTGTTGTTTTTCTATCCCAAATGTGAAGGTACCAAATATGTTCCTATTGTCTAATTTACAAATGTTTTGTGTTATCTTGCTGCTTCTTTTCTGGATTATCCTTGTGTCCCCCTGCCTTTCTGCCCTGGATAATTGAGAGTTGGCGGTGTGCCTGTAGCGTTCCTGTTTCAGGGCCAAAATGGGAGTGAGAATAAATGCTTCTAAACATTGTATTGAAGCAAATAAGTAATTTACTCATAATAGCTCTTCGCCTGGCATTACACTGGCAATTTCATGCAGGTTTTGCAGAAGGAGCGAGCAGTTGTGAGAGGTTGGAAGAGCCGTGTGCCTTGGGGAATATTTGCCGTGTGGGTATGATGGGGGGGATATGAGAAGGGCTTCACAGATTTGGAAGAGTGCTCCTACTTCTCTAAAGGGACTGTATCCAGCAGTCTGTGACAATGCTGCATTTCATAGATTTGCTGGCCCTAAATTCTGAAAATATCCCTGTCTACCAGGAATTTAGGTGGAGGTGGCAAAGGTAAAGACTTCCCTGTGGGGAGAAGGCAGGTCTGCTTTGCCTTGTGATTTTAGAGCAGCCAGCCAACCAAAACACAGTATACATCCACACTGTCTTCTCAGCTCAATAGAAATCCTTCAGCATTATCACAGCTCCATCTATTCTTTTTCCTGAAGAGATACGGAAAGCAAAAAGCATTTAGGGTGCTCTTCTGCCTGAAGCATTCGACACAGAGACATATCCCTATCTATTTGGCATCAGTAGGGCAATAGCACCTTGCAGGAGACAAGCAGAACAACTTGCAATGAATAACCTGAGACTAGTACTAATTTTCTCTTTTCTCTCTCCTTGTAGGGATCCTGTTTACGATGCTGGTATTTGGACCAGCCTGTGGATTTATCTTGGGCTCCTTCTGTACCAAAATCTATGTGGATGCTGTCTTCATTGACACAAGTAAGGAGAACTGGGTTTGGTTTCAAATGAAATATGCTAATGTTGTGTCAGCAGGACAAAAACGTTGATGCTCATGAGCAGGAAACTGCTTTTCATTCCATCTTGAGTGTCTCTTGCATGTATGGGGCACTTTTAGAGGGGTTTCGTGACTGGGATTCAAAATTTTCAACTCTATCCCCATAGATAACAGATTTGTAGTAGCTAAAATTTGTTCCCTTCCACGGGCTTTTCTACTGCGAGATGAGTTTTAGCCCAGCTCTTAGAGGACACCTCAAAATATCACTGTGGCAGGGCACACCAACTACCCATGGACATAGTCTTGCCAGGGGAGCTGTGTCCAGAGCATGGGATGAAATCTGGAGAGCTGCCATCCCCAGGACCTGGGAGGACCGTCAAGGCTCTCTGATGGAGGCACGCCAGTAAGACCCATGCCCGGCACCTTCTGCGAATGACCCTGTTTGGATGGACAGGTTTGGTCCCACAGCATTATTGCTTTTTCCCAAAGCAGTGCTAATTATTGCTCACCTGGGCTCTGCACTTGGGTTAAAGCAAATTGTTTGCAAATTGTCTTCTTGTTCATTAACAAAAAAATCTGCAAATTTATTGCTACCTGCACTACGTGCTCTTTGCCATTAGAGGGCGATGTGTAACAGGCTGTTCTCCGCTGCTCCCCAAGCCCTTTGGCTACAGACTGCAAACCTGATGCTTCATTCTTTTCCCTCAGTTGTTCAGATGCTTTTTCTACAGTTCTCAGCTCCATCTGATCTCACAGGCTCTCATGCTGCTGCAGGGGTGTTGTCCCCTTTGAAGGTGCATTCCAGTTCTATGATGTTGCAAATACACAGGATGCGTTTGGATGGAGTTGAACCTTGCAGGGCTTGGAACAGAATTGTGCAAATCCGGAAAAGTGCTACTGCCTTTTCTTGGTCTCTCATGCACATGGCAGCTGAAGAAATCTAAATAATATCGAACGAGCAGGAAAGAAAAATCTTTTTTGATGGCTGACACTTTTAGCTGCAGCTTGGTCAAACACCACATGGCCCCTTTTCATTCCTTGGCTTTAGCAAAGATATGCCAAAGACTCGCTTGGTCCTGTAGGCAGAGGAGCTTGTTTGAACCCTGTTACATATTTGACCATTAAGTATAATTTACTCCAAAATATGAATGTGCAGAAGAAGATATTTTTTCACAGGTGAAGCTGTGGAACTCCTCACCGTAGAGTGTTAAAAGTCTACAAATGGATTAAAAAACAATTGGACGAGTTTATAGAAGAACAAAATCAACATGACACCAAATGTAGCTTAGAAAGCCCCTGAGCCACAAATCACAAGAATAATATCAGGTATATGTTGACTTTATTCTTGTGGACTTTCTGGGCATCTGCAGCTGATTACCATCAGAGGCAAGATGCTGGCTTATCTAAAAAGTTAATTTGATGTCATCTGGCCATTTTTAACGTAAGACATTGCTCTGTATTTACAGCTCAAAAAGCCCCAGACAAATATAGAGCCACAGAGGAGAACGGTGGAGTGTTATCACTGAGAAGCCTGGAGGGGCTGTGGCTCAGCAGGTCATAGGGAGGGTATAGCACTTTCCAGCTGCAGGTCCAGCTGGCTTTGGCCATGGTCCATCGCTGTCATGTGAAGGCTGGGGCACGCATGGCCTCCATCTATTTTTGTATGGGTAAGAGTTTCCATATTGC